AGTGAGACAAATAATCCTATTAATAAGTATATTTATACAGTTAAAGGTAACCAGAAAGGATATGCAAGAATAGCAAGATAAAAGGGAGAAAAAATACTAATCAAATAAATCAAAAAGGAAAAAAGAAAGAAGAAAAAGGAGAAAGGAAAATTCCCTCATCCCTAATAAACCAGTAAAGAAGGGTGTGTGTGTGTGTGTGTGTGTGTGTGTGTGTGTGTTTGAGAGAGACAGACAGAGATAGGCAGGCAGGCAGGTGATGGGGAAATGAATCAGAAAATGCTTCACTGTATTTTTGAATGAGTGATTTATTTCCAGAATCCATAATTGTGAGAGCCAGCAAGTCATGATTTTTTTTTTCCTCTTAATTTTTTGTGTTGTGGATTTTGTGAGTTGCCTGCCCTGTTCCGGAGGCCTACCCCAGCTCACCCCAGGCTGTGGTAGTCATTAGAGGCAAGGTGTGTCTTCATTCATTTTGGTGGTTGTAGAGTTAGGCCTCAGATCTGTGCTGTTTGTAAGTTGCAGGGAATGGTTCAAGTATTACACTCTGGAATTTTACACCCAGCTGATTTTGCACAAACCACAAGCCTGACCTGTCCTCCTACCACAAAAAGCTAGCCTGAACATAAACTTCTCAGGGGCTCTGTCTAGCCTGCTCCTTGTCTGTGACTACTTCCCATTCCTTTCTCTCACCCAGTCATTGAAACCTTGAAGTTGTGTTTTAGTAGTTTGCGTTCCAGACCTAAATATCAACCCTTTCCCAAAATGGTGCCTGCTTAAAGCACTCTCTGGCAATATGGACTGAACTCCTTTAGCTGTTATACACTGTGTAGAAGGGGTTACCTTGGTACAAAACACTTCAATAAGTTTTTCCCTCTGGGGTGCATGCAGCTGGCCAAGTCTGCTGTTTCTCCCTAGAGCTGTTGGCCCTGGGTGCTTACCTTGTTTCTGCAAGAGCAGCTTCTTTCTAGAGCTAGGGTGAGCTTCTAGACGGACTGCTTTTTTTTCCCCCCTTTGTATTGTATTGTGTTTCTCCAACTTTTCTGTAACTGCTCATTTTTGTAAGTTCTTTCTGGATTCTCAGTGATCTGCTCCCCCACCTTTGGCTAAGTTTTTATTTTGCAGATTTATAGATTCTATATCTCTAAGAGTGAATTTTATTGCTAATCATTCCTTGACTGTTTTCTTCCCACTAGACTTTCTTTAGGGTTTGCTTCAAGTTTTCACTCCTGCATGGTCTTGCCTACCTTCTCCAGCTTCTTTTCAAGTAAAAGAAATCTTTGCCATAGCCTTAATACTTAATTAAGGCAACTTTAACTGTTCCTCTTTAATTTCATTGGCTGAGTACTGCTGTTTGCTTGTGTTGAATATTTTTGTTGCTTTTGTCAGATGTTGATATTTCACTGTCACTAATAACTTTCTTAAGCATTTCCTATAGACATCTTTCCACCTGTTCTCTTTAGAAAAAGTTACCATTCTGCTTGCTTTCATGCCATTTTGTGTGTATATGACTTACGATTTTTATCTTTAGGCCCAACTTTTTGTTGCCCTTCAAATCTCTATGTTATAATGCCCATTGGCATTGTTACTTGAATGTTCATAGCTTTCTGTGTTCATTGAGTTACAAATTAAGTTCATTTTTTCCCCTCCCATATAGCCTTCTATAGTATCTGTCTTTTTGGAACAACCCCACTGATGGGCTTGTTTGTCAAATACCTCTGCAAGAACTAAAGTTTATGGCATTCCTATTGTCTCAGTTACTCTTCTCTCATACCTGACACCCAAAATGAAGGAAGGAAAGGTTTATTTAGCTCATAGTCAGTGGAGGTTTCAGTCTGTAGTTGGCTGGCTCCAAGGCAAAGTGGCACAGGGCAGAGAGCAGCCATTCATGGTGGCAGCAAAGAGAAAGAGCAGGAGAGCATGAGCAAATAGGAGTAAAGGCAGCAGAGAGCAAGTCTGTCTCCCTTGTGTTGCATTCAGGCTATTGTCTGCCCCAGGCTGGGTGTAGTACTCACACCCATAGTCCCAGCAGCACACACACCCATAGTTCCAGTGGCTCATCATGAGTTAATCATAGACTCTTAAGAGTCCACCCCATGACTACATGAGGCTTTGAGGGGGGCAACTAGACACAAACCATAATACCTATAAAGCTTTTCCTTGATACCCCTAGCCCCCTACAGTGGTAACTCAGTTCACAAACTTGATTCCATGATTCTGGTTGTAGAATTGGACAAGAACCAAATCAAATTGAATTGTTAGGTTCTATTTTGCCCTTATGGGAACATTTGATTAAGTTTTTGTCACATCAGTTTGCAACCAGTATCACAGAGAAAATTGAGTTCTTGAACCAAGGCATCATTGTACTTAGTAATTTCCTTCTTTGTTTCCCACTATTATAGTTGTATTGTGGTGCCTAAAAGTACTTTACTATACTTTTAATACACTCTCTCCAGTAGACTACAAGCATGTTAACACCTTTCAATTGCCATCCTGCTTAAGGCCTGGCAAAAAATAGTTGAGTGTAGCTCAGCGGTGGACTACCTACCTAGCATACATGAGACATACCTACATTTGTTCTGTTGGTTTGTACTGGAGGAGCCATATTTTTGAGAGGTGAAACTCTTGCATTCAGTGGAAGAAATGAACCCTGGACTTGGAAGGAGGCCATATGAGGATGCAGACCATCTTTGTTGGACCACAATATTGGACAAGGCATAAACTGTGTGTACATGGGGTGTCCTTCAACTGAGACCTTGCAGACAAGTCAGCAGTGCGATGTAAATGTGGCAGAGGAAGCTAGGTCGATAGAAAGAACTAAGTTACTTGTTAGGTATTTAAAACAAGGCCTTGATAAAGTCCCTGATGTTCTTAAGGCATACTTTTAAAGCTACCTGTTGACCCATGTCTGGCCCCTTGATTCGTTTTGGTCCATTCTGGATTTTTTTTATTTTTAGTAAACATGAAAGGTGTCTCAGTCTTTTGTTTATGAGGGGTGAAGCAATTAGTTTGAGGGACTAAAATATGTACTTCCTGCATGTACCAATGAAAGAAGGAAATAGGGATCTGGTAACATTGACTAACAGTGCAAATTGGAAGATGTAGAAGGACTAGTATAATGTACCATCATAGGTAAATCTGGTTACAAGAATTTTATTTGACACGAAAACCAAAGTTGCTGTTTGCAAGTTGCTTTCAGCTATAGCAAAAACAAAGCAGAACTGTCTTCCATTAAAGAAAATTATATCTAGTAGTCCTAAGATATGATTCAGTGATTCAAAAGTAAGAAGAAACTTGGTTCCTTGGCTTGTCACAAGTTTTTCATTTACAGTTTTTATTTATTTATTTTTTATTACAAGGCCTACAGGGTCTTACTACGTAGATTGGATTCATAGTGATGTGCCTGTGTTCAGTCTCCCAAGAATTACAAGTGCATGTCACCATGACCAGTCTCCATTGTCGACTCAGCGTACCCCTGGGGGCAGGGCCAGCACAGCATGCTGGGGATCAAACCCTGGCCACTGCGTACAGTTTTTATTCTTATTAGTACATGTTTTCAGTACATAATGACTATATTCATTATGGGACATTTGTACATAGACATAACATATCTTAATCCTTTTTATTTATTTTTTAAATTTATGTATTTGGTACAGGGTATCACTGTGCAGCTCGGACTTGTAGTGATCCTCTTGTTTCAGCCTCCCCAGCATTGGGATTACAGGCGTGTGCCACCACACCCAGTTCATCTTAATTCTTTTTAGATCTCCCTTTCCCAGTTTTCTCCAGTAGTGTTGATGCCTTAAGTTAGAAAGGTACCACATCATTGCAGCTCATGAAATGACCAGAAATGTCCCAAGTTCACCTGGTGTGGTGGCACATGCCTGTAATCACAGCAATCATGAAGCTGAGGCAGGAGGATTGTTATGAGTTCAAGACCAGCCTGGGCTACAAAGTGAGCTCAAGGGCAGCCTGAATAGCATAGTGAGACCCTGTCTCAAAACGATAAAGATTTTTAAAAAAATCCCCAGTTCTCCCTGTAGACTTCCCTTCATGTTTCATGAACACTTGAAAAGATGGGTTTAGACTGGCATATCTCCTTTAATGTTTTGTAATCGTTTTTAGAAATGTAGTTTTTTATTTCTTAAGGTCAGCCTAGGAAATGTGAAGAAAGTGGTTCACATATATGGTGACTAGAAAATTCAGTGTTCATTAATACTTATATAAAATATCTTGAGATTTATGTGAAAAATAAAAGCTTGGCTCATTTTTAGCCACATGAACACTTGATGGGAAAATTGTACAGTAATTCTTAATTATGAAGGATTGTCTTGTATGTTGGAAGACACTTTACATTTCTGGCTGGCTCTTGCCAACTGAATTCTTCTACTACCAGTATTGCCTTTCTCTCCGTCACCTGTAGAAAGAAGCAGTGCTGTGGTGGGACAAATGCTTCAATTTAAATTTGTTCCTGACACAGTTGTCCTTGGACTGGCTTTCTTCAGTGCTGTAACAAAATACCAACACTTCCTATGTGTTGTCTTTCCCTTCTCTAAACTGTAATGAGAGTTTTCTCTCTTGCTGCTAGAGTACTAACTCTTTCTTTCTTAAAGCACTTAATATTTTCTGCATTACCTCATGTTTATCTGTGCATATCTTATTCCTCTTCTACTAGATCATATGCCTCTTGAAGGCTGATACTGTATTTTCTTGCACTTGATTCACTCAAATCTTCTAATCTTAGGTGAATTGTTTTGTTAATCCACACTGTGATTTAGTTTCTAAGTGACATATGATGGGGGTTTGATTTTGGGAAGAACAGCCATAAAAGGCCCAGACCAAACAGGCTTTTGTGCAAATTTAGCTATTTTGTTGAGATTTTAAGAGTGACACAGATGTCATGGAGATAGATATAATTGTCACAGGAGCTTAGAACTGTAATTTTAATGTTCTTACATCAGTAAAAAGGTATTTACACTGGAATGAATTGTTTTTCTTTACAGCCAGTTGCTGAACCAATCCCCATCTGTAGTTTTTGTCTTGGTACAAAAGAACAGAACCGGGAAAAGAAGCCAGAGGAACTTATCTCCTGTGCAGACTGTGGCAACAGTGGTATGTGATTTCCCATTTACCTTCTAACATGGTTGGCAGAGTAAGAGGAAAGTGTGTTAACTGACTTGGTGTATCTTCCATTCACCTGCAAATAGTATTTTAGGTAACTGAGATGAGCTTCTGCACTACAAAAGGGTTAATAGTTGAAATGTTTAATTTAGTTAAAGTTTGCTCTTAGGGTTTTAAAAATAAAGTCTTACTATGAACTTACTTCTTTCTGTTGATTTTTCTGTTTCATTATTAAACATCTTAAATTACAGCAGTCAGAAGTTTGCTAGCTTCTTCAGTAGTCACTGCGTATGTTTCTAGCTCTGTATCTCAGGCTTGATGCATAGAACTGGGATAACAACAGATTTGTTTTCCTTGATGGAAACTTATTTGTATCATATTGGGATGCACAGTGTTGACACTGCAATTTCGTGAGCATTGTGAAATTCTGGGCTGTAAGAAAGATTTTGTAGTCCACTAATTTGTCAATTTTAGAGATATTCTTGTTGTGCATTTTAAGAACTCACAAGACTAACAAGAAGGCTACATAGAAACCTTTAGGAACATTCAAGATTTGTTCTAAAACAAAGCCATAATCACGCAATTCAAGAAAAGGGGAATTTACTGGCATTAGACACTTGCGAAATTGTTAGAAAGGCTGAAGAGAAGTCAAGCCTTGGCTGGGCTTTAAGGACAGAGATTTCTGAGATCTGCAGAACTGACATGCAGAGGAATTGCCAAGCCAGCCTCCCCTAGATAGAAGTGGAAGCTGGCAGCCCATGCAGAGTGTGGAGTTCTGTAGCTGGGCACTGAGATGCTGGATTTGGTCATCACTAGAGTTGCCTCTCGACAGCCACAAAATAGGACATTAGTACCAGAAGAGGGGTGATCTTTGTTTCACTTCTGCCTTTGATATTTTCATTGAACACATCCAGTTGGCACAGCTCAATTCATATCAAGAGCTTACCTGCAGATATATCTAGAAAGTATAATTCTTAGCATTTTAGTTTTTATATCAAAACATTAGAAGAAAATAGGAATAGATCTTAAATACATGGTGATCATATTCATCCAGTAAGTATCATAACCCAGAAGAAATCTGGATGGCTTCATAGTTAAATACTGTACTAGCTTTTTGTCCCCAGAATATAATACTAAATTATGTATATGAAATGAGGAAAAGCTTATTTTTCATAGTTTTAGAGATTTTATTTATTTTTGAGACAAGATCTTGACTATGTAGTTCATAGGCTGGCCTTGAACTTGGGCAGTCATCTTGTCTCAGCCTTCTGAGTGTTGGGATTATAGGTGTATGCCACCATGTGCAAATCATTTTAGAAATTTTAGTCCATGGTGACTAAAATGGCAGAAATATCATGGCAGTGGAATGCACCTTGCCTTGTGGCAGTCAGGAAGCAGAGAGCAACAGAAGAACCAGAGCAAAGGTATAGCTTTTAAGAGCATGCCCCTAGTGATCTGCTTCTTCCAGAGGAGCCCCTCATTCAGCTGTGACTTATCGTACATTGACCCATTGATGAGTTCAACACCTTCATGATCTAAGTGCTTTCACGGCCCAGAATTGCCTTCTGACCACTGGAGACTTTGGGGGGGACAGTAGATAAAAATATAATTCATGTTACATAATACAGTTATTTTTCAAACTATTGTACTAGTGGTACTCCTTTCCCAAATAATTATGTATGGACACTCATATATACAAGGCATAAAAAAGAATCTGTTAAACTATTAGTTATCTTTCTGTAGAAACAAATTAACCTAAAATTAAACAACTTAAAGACAAACATTGTTTATTTCATACTGTTTCTGTGAGTCAAGAATTTAGGGGTGCCTTGTCTTGGCAGGTTTTTTTTTTTTTTGTATTATAGGGAAGAGTCTGCAGGGTATTCAGAGTCTCACTACTAGATCAGACTCACTGTCCCACCTGTTTACAGCCTCCCAAGAGCTGGGATTACAGGCACACACCACTATGCCCAGTCTCAATTACAGTCTCAGTGTGCCCCAGGGGTGGGGCCAGCATGGCAGGTCTTGGCAGTTTTGATTTAGAATCTTTCATGATGTTGCAGTGAAGGTTTTTCTTTTGTACTGCCCACTGTAGAATTATCACAGTAACTAAGGAAGATTAGATGGACACAGTTATATATAAGCCAAAATAAAAAGCAGGCATAGTTTGGGGAAAATAAAGAGCATGTCTCCAGTTCTAAGCACATAGTCCAAAGAAAAGAGTGTGTGAACAGACAGTTTATGTGAAAGAAAATTAACTATTGAACATACAAAAGTTTCCCTAAGTTATAACAGAAATGCACAGCAAAGCAGTGAAATTAAAAGATAAGAGATATCCAACCTAAAGCAAATAAAATTATAGTAAAAGATGTTGTACTTTGCCGATGGCACTGAATATCATACTGCAGCTTTGGGAGAATGTTTTGGCAGTTCATCTCAACCTATCAAGTTATAAAATGTTTAATTCATTTCACTTACCAGTCTTACTTAAGAATTTACTCTTAAAAAATTAGGAGAAGGAAAGAATCTGTACACAAAAATAGTTTTAGTGCTTTTTCATTAACAGTTATGGATAGTGGTCTTAGTACTTTAATGACAGAAAAATGATCATGTGGATTATGGGACATCAAATTAGTGGAATGTAATAGTTAAAGGAATATAAGTTTAAAGTTCACTTGAATAAAATAGTGAAGAAAACAAAAACTAAATATTTTGTAATCAGAGTCATTCAAGGGCTTCCAGCTATTTTTTTAAAAGACAACCTAAAAATGGGTATTATTCTAGGACAGTGGTAGTGAGCCTATGGCACATGTGCTGCAGGGGGCTGTTTGTATCATGGAAAGCTCTAAGAAGTTCCGTCACTGTTCCAGGATGAAAATACCACTATACATTTATTCTTAATCTCACAAACTGAGATTAAGAATGCAATGTTCAGGGCCATCTGCTTAGCTCAGTTGTTTAAGCACCTGGATACCGCGGTTCAGTCCCCAGACCCGCCCTTAAGGCAGCCTGAGCCAGCCAAAAAAAAAAAGAGAGAGAGAATGCATTGTTCATATTCCCCTCTTCCTTCAGTGATACTTTGATGGTGAACTAACTTCCTACAATTCTTCAGGAATATGAAAAAGAAAAGATAATTTAACCTTTGTCTCATCATAGAAAAATAAATATAAACTACTTTAAGAGAAGAAGAACTGATCATTTTAAAGTTGACTTATTAGCTACTTAGAATTTTTGAGAATTGAATCAATATTAACTACTATAAGAGGAGTCATTTTTTTTTCTATTGTTGTTAATTCTGATGTCAATAGAAGTACTTGCTTTACATTTTAGTTTGAGCTCTGTAAATCATGGGCAAGTATCTTTTTTTTAATATATCAATTTAAATGAGATTTTTATTATATATTTTAAAAATATAATGGCAGACATGGTGGCACATACCTGTAATCTCTGCATTCAGGAGGTAGAGGCAGGAGGTCACAGTGAGTTCAAGGCCAGCCTGGGCTCCACAGCAAGACCTTGTTTCAAAAGCACCAAAACAAGGAAAGAGGGAGAAGGAAAGGTTATTTTAAAAAGTGAGAGTATAAGTATTCAGAATATTTATATCTTCATTTTCTAAAATATTGCCAGTAGTTTTTTTGTGTATTCTTCCAAAGGTGACCTAGACATACATATTTGTGTTCATAAAAATAATAGGATGTATGTAAACATAGTGCTTTGATGGAGGCTTAATGAAAGATTAGAGTATACCAGATTCTTAATCATCAAAATGTGAGTGTTCTAAATCTTGTGTGGCATTAAGAAAACTAAGTTGGGGGTGCCACATCCTGGAAGCAAATGGCAGGCTTCTAACATCTTATTTTATTGGATATGTATTTTGTATTTAAAATACTTGACTTTTTATACATCATTTAGCACAAAATACTTGCTTGGTTCTTCACGAATTTTTTATCTTCTTAGGTCATCCATCCTGTTTAAAATTTTCCCCTGAACTAACGGTTAGAGTGAAGGCCTTACGGTGGCAGTGCATTGAGTGTAAAACATGCAGCTCCTGTCGAGATCAAGGCAAAAATGCAGTGAGTATCTTGCCTTCCTATGTGGGTATTTTACATAGAAATAAATGTATAGTGGTATTTTCACCCAAGGGCAGCTGGTTATTTTTTGGTTCAGGAAAACTTAGATGAGTACTCTCTTTAAATCATATTCCATTAGTTTAAAAATGCTTGTTCATTTAAACTCATAAAATTTCTAAATGATTTATAAAGCACAAGAAATACATATTTCTAGAAGAGCTAGGTTAGTTAAGTAAATGTTCCCAAAGTTTGTTTGAGTCATATGAAATGTTCATTTATGAATATGGACCTCCTAAGCACAAGCCCTCCTGTTCTTTATTAAAATAGATCAGGATTAGCTTTTATTTGGCTGTTGGATATACAAGAAGCTATAGCTTTTCATAAAAATTTGGTTGACGGGAAACTCAGTTTGCTGAGACTCAGGTTTTGCTAACTCAAATCATCTACTTAATAGGTATCAAGAAAACTTAAGATTATGGTAACTCATCTCTTTTGAGATCTTAAGTTTCCTAAGTTTAATGAGGTTATTATGATCCTCGTGACATGTTTCTTTTTCAAAAAGTTAAGCAGAACTGTGTTTGCCTTTTTTTTCTCTTAAGGATAACATGCTCTTTTGTGACTCATGTGACCGAGGTTTTCACATGGAATGTTGTGATCCACCACTCACTAGGATGCCAAAAGGTGAGAAATGCTTTCTGAAATAGGATATGTTAGTGAAAGCACATATTACCTATTAATAAAATGAAAAACAAAACAAAACAAAATGAAACATTATTTTTGGGTGTTGTATAAGTAGAAAGAGAACTAAAAGGCATTATGTAGGCATCCTAACATTTTTGTACACTTAAGAATACATCATTATTTTACTTTATACATTTAAGCTTCTAGAAAAGGTGAACCAGTTCGTATAAAAATATTTGTCTCTAGCTAGAGGCTAAAATACATAATATCTTTAAGTAATATTTTTTTTCCTTAAAGGAGGAAATGAAATTGTATAAAGTAGTTTTGTTTATATTACTGCTAGCACTTTTGTGGGGCCTTGATCTATTGAGATCTGATTTATTTGAAATTTAAAAACAAAATTTGTTTAAAATAAGTTGTGAACCAACCAGATGTTCAAATCATTACGCTAACGTCCTTCGTTTTGACTCTTTTCTTTGAAAGGTATTAGGATATACATAATTACCTTTTATTTTTTTTTAAAGCAATTTTTCAGTTAATCTTCCCTCTTTATCCCTCTTTTGTCCTATCATAGATTGCATTCCAACTTTAGTTTTGTGGCTTATAAACTTCTTAAGTAAAATGCTTAAAGATATTTTATAGTGTCTGTTTGGAGAAAGTTTCCCTGTTGATAGAAAAGGATTCAACCTTAAGTTACAGTCAGGTTAAGCTCTTTAAGGGTCTTTTAAAATCACTCTTATGCTACTCTGTTGGTGCTTAGTTAATACAAATTAAGGAAATTTGAACAGTCTTAGATTTAAAAATAAATAACTCTCTATTTAGTATTTGAAGTCTATAGACAAGAAGCCTTCTGAACAATCCTCCAAGATAAGATTTTCTCAGAATTTCTTTTCTATGTATTTAACTTATAGAAGAGATTTTACAACAGTTTAACTCAGGAAACATCTTATCTTGGACTTACTTTAGATTTTCAAAAAAATAGCAAAAATAGTAGAGCCCTTATGTTATTTCCTAGCTTCTCTTAATGTTACCATTACAAAAACTAAGAAATCAGCAATTCTTGCTTGAACCAGAATGATGTCTGCAAAATGGTGACTTTATTTTTACCATTCTATCTACCTTGATTTATTTTTTTCCCATAATTTTATTAAGAAACAAATAGCAATGAGACATTTCAAGTCAAATTGGTAGGACAGTTTCAATAATGAACACATTGCATACATTCTTCCTAGTGGTTAATTGCTGTACAAGATGCAGACATGATAACCTATTTACAAACACTATTAGAACAAATCCCTTTATTCATTAAGAGAATGTAACTATATATCTATCCTAACCATTTTGAATACACAGATACAAAATG